ATTTTTTTTAAATTTAGTTTAAAGGATGGAACAGCCAAGATGAACCAGTAGGTCCCATGTTGTCCCAAAACATTATGTTATGTTATTATTACATTAAGCCAACTAATATTCATTACTAGTAGATGTCCCCCGGTGGGACAGTGGTAAGTCTTCAGATTTACATCACTAAAATCAGGGGTTCAATTCCTCTTGGTGAACACAGCAGATAGCCTAATGTGGCTTTGCTATAACAAAACACACACACACACACACTAGTAGATTCTGGGACATGAAATATTTCATTACATCAGTAAATATGGATTTTTTTTTCTTTCTTTATTGCTAGTAGCATCAATAGGAAATCTATCATTACTGAGAAAAGGTTTTTTTTCTTCAGATTATTTCTTAAAAATTATCGCATAAGTATAAGTATGGCAATAAAATCCAAAGTCTTAAGAAGGTTTGTACTATTTACTATAATATAATGATGCCAGGAACAATGCTATGTTAATAAAGATAAAAATTCTTGAACAATAAACTGAGAGTTAAAAGATAGGAAAAGGAAATTTATGTGGACAAAACTTGATCAAAGGAATCACCTTCAGTCAAACTGGTTAAGAAAGATAGCTATCATTAAGATATAATAAATTTGATAAATTGTGTAAATAAGTAGGTAAAAAAAGCACAAAAAACCTTAATTTTTAACATTACTGTTCAGCTCTTTGCATTTGATAAAATGTTACAGACAGGCATTACACAACTTACCTGGGGAAAGCAGTACAAGTGCGGAAAACAAGGCTAGTTCTGTGTCCGTCAACTTAAGTTCTGCTACACTCATGGCAAGATCAAAACTACTGCTGACAAGTTTCATTTCTGTTGTGTCTATTGTACAAAAATATAATGTTACCCACAGTTAAGTGACTTAGTTTGAAAAATATCTGTCACATGACCCACTTTCACTGATAGTTTAGTTTTGTTTACTGACTAATTTTTCATAACATGTACAGCTAAAAATCAGGCACATCTCCAAATCCCAAGGCTTATAAAATGCTAAAAGAAAACTTGAGAAATTTTTTGATGAAACAGCGAACCACATATATAGATCATAATCTCTATTTGTTGTTATAATGATCAATGAATGGATGTGCAAAGCAATCTTAAATTTTGTTTGTGAATAACTTCACTTCTTGGAATATAGAACAAAAGCAATGAATATGAATCATACTTTTAAACATTTTGAATAATGTATAAACTGTTAACATTTTTTACATAAATCGTTGAATGTTCTACTTGCCAAGACATTTCTAAATAATGACAATAATGACAATTTTTTATCAATTTACTCACCAGATGTCAAGAATGCTTCAACAGATAAAAGATTCTCTCCATACAAAACAGAACCCGTGTTTAAATCAATGTACCGACTCATCCGCAACAAAACCAGTTCAAAGCTTCCTGTTTGACAAAAAAAAATTAGGTTAATTCTAATGGATCAGATTATATTAATTGTGAATAACACTAAATTACAGTTATTCAATCTATTCTAAAATGAATTCATGTTGTTTGCTTTCATATAAAACTTTGAAATGTTCTCAATTACCAGCTTTTAATAATACGATCTGGTCCTCCTGAGACAGCTTCATAAATCCTGGAACCATCTTGGCAAACTCTATAATTTGTTGAACAACTGCTGTTAATCTTTGGGCACAGTCCAACCAAAGTTCGTCTTGAGCCTAAAAAAAAATATTCACAATTGTCATTATAACTTGATTAAAAAATAAATATGTTACTTCAGAATACAACTTAAATTGTGTTGGAAGTCAATTCAAAGCACAATGCAATGGTTAAGAAAACACAACCAAGGTTTATTCAGCAAACAAGCTAGATGTTTACTATAAATTGAAATACTAAACATGAGCACACAGTCCAAGAGAAGAACAAGGCCCATTTTCACAAGATTGAAGAACATCCAAATACAAACAAACAAACAATACACAAAACCAATTTTTACAGTACTAGTGTGCAGAAAAAAATTTGGCTTTTCGATGCTTTACCAGACACATTAATCTAGCAAATGAAAATTTATTGTAACTCCTGGTAAAGCATGGTTGTATAATAGTGATGAAAAAATTGGACACAATTAACGTTCATGCCAAAAAAAACAAAAGAAGCACATTATACAAGTCCTAAACTGTTTTTTTTTCTCTGCAAAGGTTATATTTTAACTTGAAACAAAAGCTCTGATGTGCCAAATGATGTCCGAGTCAGTTTACAAGATCATCAAGAAAGAACCTGAATCCAGAGTGGCAGTGTAAAGAGGTGAATAACATATGACAATCACAAGCATAACCGACAAAAAATTCATATCATTACAACAAATCACTTCTCTGGCTTTTTCTGGTGATAAAACATTTGATTTCTGTGCAGTTTTGTTCCTGACAAGAGCTTTTGGAAAACACTCCCCATAATAATCTGAAGAAGAACCTAACAATAATGGTTCTTCTTCAGATTATGATGGGGAGTGTTTTCCAAAAGCTCTTTTCACAAGAGTCTGGTGAAAGAAAAGCAAAAATTATTGTTATGAAATATAGTAAGAAAAGTGAATACAGAATGCTTTTTATTATTTGTATTTACCAATTTGTATGTATAATGTTTTCTCCTGTTTCTGCTGATTTGTCATAAGTAAAAAGCCATCTAATTTGACAGCCCTAGGACCCATTGTTTTATACTTTACTATATAATTTTAACTTTAAATTTTTTCTATTCCTGAACTCCTGGATACACCTGGGATTTGAGGAAAAACCATAGCAACAGAGTTAAAGTAAACATCTGGCCCCCTAAGCAGTGACTTTAAACTATATTCATAAATTTCAAGGTTGTCCTAAGCTTTTGCAATCTTCTATAACCAGTACCTTATATTCTAAAAACTACAAAGTTATTGTGTTCACATGCAACATACATATTTCTGAGGCAAACAACAATCAATTCACTAATTAATGATAAAAAATTATATTTTTAACAATCTTCTCTATACAACTCAAACCATAAACTGATTTAAGCTCCACAATACTAACATATATCAATGCTAATATTACAGTTGGATGCTATTTTAAAATATGGTAAAATTGCATTTTATTATATTATTAATGTCATATATATATATATATATATATATTATTAATGTCATATATATATATATTTATTATATTATTAATGTTATATATATATATATGAAAGCTGAGTGTTTAACTATTATATAATTGTTTGCTACTTTATTTCAATCACAATGACCAACATTTTTAGATACTACAATTAGCGTTCAAACATAATTTCTATTTTCTTACTTTTAAGATTGAGAAATGCATAAAAAAATCTTTTATGGGTCTCCAATTTAAGCAAAAATCCAGCAAGTGAAAGTTATAGAAACATTTCATCTTACAAAACATTCTCTTCCAATTACAACCTGTGTAAAAGCCTTAGTCTTTCTTAAGTTGAAAAAAAAAGATTTATTTGCCATTTAATCTATTGAATATATAAGTGATAGAATAAACAGGTTAATAAAGTAATGTATAAATATTTTTTGTTTAACAAAACTACAATGAAAATTTCCAAATTATACTTCATGACTGTTGAAAAGAAGAACTTAAATTTAAGATAAATAGCCCATTTTACACCTGGTATTTTCTGTTTATGTATGGTTCTCAAGCATTTGGAACAATTGTCTATTCCTATGTTTCTGAACACTTGCACATTCGATAACAAAGGTTACTAGAAAAATAATATATTTTTTTTACATTTCAATATTAGGTACATTTTTTATTCTACCTTGTATTTCACATGTAACCGATAAGTTATCAAAACCTCCAGTAACTTTTTTTTTATACTGAAAACTTGATAATTTGAAAGACAAAATATGACTTTTACTTTATCTCAGTTTTAACTATCATCATCTCAGAAATCGAATTTTATTCCAAAAATGAGTACAATGAGTTCCAAAATAACATAACATGATGTTTTGGGCAACAAGGAACCTCTTGGTCCATCTCAACTGTTCCATTTTCTAAACTAAACTAAAGCTATTAAATAAATTAATTTAAAAAAAAGAAATCTTAAAGCCAGCCCTTATAATTCATATAGTTATCAAACTTTCTCTTAAGTTCGCTTAAAGTTACTACCTCAACCACATTCAAAGATAACCCATTCCGAAGGTCAACCACCCAGTTAGAAAAATGAAACTGTCTTAGCTGAACATGACTCCTACCATGTCAAAATTTATACTTGTGTCCCCTAGTCCTACTATTCTCATTGTTAAGTAAGAAAACAGATGATGCATCAACTCTATGAATTCCCTTAACAATCTTAAACATCCCAATCAGATCCCCTCTAACTCTTCTTTATTCAAAAGAAAACAATTTCAGAAATCTTAACTTATCCTCATGTGACAACCCCTCCATCCCATGTTCCATTATAGTAACCCTCCTCTGAACCTTTCCAACAATTCAATGTCCTTCCTAAGGTAAAGAGCCCAAGACTGAACACAATACTCCAAAAGTGGCCTAACCAGTGACCTATACAATGGCATTATAACCTCTTTAATATTTCTGTAGATACAACCTAAAATCCTATTTGCCCTACCACTAGCAACAGCACACTGCTTGGATGGCTTAAGAGATTGATCAACCATTACACCAAGATTCCCACCCAAAATATACTTATAATTGCAATTAAGATAAACCACATGCATTATCTTGCATTTATTATAATTAAAACCCATCTGCCATTTACTTGCCCAACTCACTAAATGATCTAATTACATTTGTAAATCAGCAGCATCTTCTTCATAGCTAGCAACTCCCAAGACCTTAATATCATCTGCAAATTTAACTAACTTGCTGATCATTCTTTCAATCTATGTAAATGATGTAAATCAAAAAACAGCAAAGGTCCTAAGATTGAGCCCCGAGGTACCCTGCTTGTAACATTAATCCAGTTTGACTGAACTCCATTTACAAAAACACTCTACTTTCTTCCATCCAGCCACTCTTCTACCCAACTTATCCCCCACATTATAAGGAATACATCCAATCTATGTTAGACGTCTAACATACAAGAAGAAAATTTAACTTTACTGTGCTTCCTTGTCTGATGATTTGTAGGTATCAAAGTTCCAATCACCACCAAGTTAACATTATCAGTAAACTTACAATAGTCTTTTACATATAAATCAACTTATTTATGAGTCTTTTTCAAGTAGTGAATGAATTGTGTTTATAGAGCGTTAAGGATATCTTTTCTGACGTTGGGACCAAATTATTCAGTTCTATCGTCACATAACAAATACAGAAGAGCTTTTAATTTTAACAATCCCATTTTTGTATATCCTGACCTCAGAAGTAAACCTAGAACTTCTTGTGTGCCAATCAAACACTATACTAATGGAGCTAAAAAGGTTAAACAGCTAACAAGTGCTAGCAAGTTAATTTGTTTGGCAACTCAAGCTGCCACATTTTTATCCCCTCACACAAAAAAGCCTTGTCTTCAGATCTTAACTTAGTGTCATATGATGACACCCATTTATCTTATGGTAATGTAATTCTTTTATTTCTCCACATCTGATTCAAGCCCAAGACTTCTCATACATCAAAAAATAGTCTACTTAATAACGAACTAAAAAACTGACTCACTGGCATTGCTAGTAAGGCACTTTTTAAACAACTCAAACTCATAATTACAGTCAAATATAACATTAAACATATTATAACAAACTTACCATGTTCTTATAATACAAAAGGAGTGAGACATCTTGAGGTTTCCTCATAAGTTCTAAAATCTGTTCTGTTGTATATAAACAAGTACGATTGTGTGCATCAACGATGGTCTTAGCTAATAACTCTGGAACATGAATAGAACAGCTATCAGTTATTAAATTAAACTCTAATACTTAAAGTATCAAATTGATAATGAAAATCTTCATATCAAAGACATTTTTATTTAGTCCTGATGAGGAACCTTATTATAAACAAAAAACAAAATCAACAAGAACTTTAAAAAGCAAAGAGAAAAACACATCATAAAACAAAACATTAGGAAAAGTTTGGTTTAATATATTTATTTTCCAAACAATCGCAAATGCAAAAAGATTCAAAAATCGGAGATGTCAATGAGGAATTCTTACAATACTTAGATTCAGAAAATGAGCCGTTAGCAAGGAATTTCTTCTTGACAGTTTTTAGTTAGAGAATATATATATACTTAAAAATATTATCTACTTTTTCTTTGGACTCATTTTACTTATCAAAAGTTAAAGTAGTATATGCAATTATCAAAAAAAGTAGGATATTTTGGAGGAAATTAACAAATAGATTTCATTTAAAATGAAGGTTCACTTTAAATACATAAATTATTGTTCAAACTCTGAAGTATGCATTTAATCAAAAATGATATTCATACACTTATATCTGACACTTATGATAGTAAAATGGAATATTTACTTGTACTCATGTAGAATCTTTCTGCCATAGGAACATCTTTCCCTCAGTTTCATGAGACACATAAAAAAAAATCATTTACTGAGTAAAGTATCTTTGCATAATTTAAATATATAACCATTGATTTCCAATAGCCTCAACTGTATGACTGTTTTCTTAATAGTTTTTAAGAACATGATCTTTTATGGCCAACAACTGAAAAAACAACAAAAACCTTTTAACTGTAACTTACCTAAATGGGAATTATTTGATATTGTAGTTGTTGGGACTGTGGTTGTAAGGAGGCCATTGGTTTCTGGTAAAGAATTTTCTAACTGCTGAAACTGATCAAATGTTGTGCTGTCTACAAAATCTGTTCCAGCCAAGTCCAATGTCATAGCCTGAGGAGTGTAACTGTAACCATTGGGTGTATATGTGTTGAGGTCTCCATTGTAAGAATATCTACAAGGAAAACAGAAGCCTCAACATAAGTTAATTGTCAGGAAAATGAGTATTAGTACTTAATCCTTGCCATTATCTGTTTCTTAGCCTTTTTCTTATTATACTGACATACTAATATTTTTCAACTTCTTAATAATTCACATAAAGTTTTTAACTATTTAACAACTTTTTTTTTACCCTTTCAACTGCACTTATAAAAAAAAATGGAAATAACAGTTGTTAACTGTAGTTATTGGCCACAAAAAAATTATTAAACATAACTAACATTTCAAACATTTACATTTCTACATCAAATTATATAGCTGAAAATATCCATTTAGATGTTATACATACAAAAGAAATGTGCTGAAGTCCTTACTCTATGTTTCTTTTTTTCTTCACATAAAAGAAAACAAAACAGATCCAAAATAATTTCTAAAAACATCCAAAGCTGATTATATGGAAGGTTGTATTGGCTTGATACGAGAAATTTTTGAAATGATTCTACCAGTAAATGGAGAAACAGATAGAGATCAGAACTTGCACTGTATACCAGACATTTGAATTTATACTGATATGACAACTTTCTTAATCAACACTTACTTATTATGTCCTAAAATGTTGGATTTGTATATAAACAATTTGCATATATTTCTTGCAAGTATATGAAATTTTTATGAGAATGAGTAGCTTTATGAAAATATTAGTGAAGTTATTATATTTTGATTTTTTTCTTTCTTCGAAACTGTTTGGAAAATCAGATAAGTTCTCTGCTTATGTTCAAGCGTACTTCTTCATAAAATAATTCCAGTTTGTGTTAAATTTAATTACAACCACATGGGTGCAGGTTGGCATTGTGGTAAAGCTCTAAATTTCAAAGCTGATTTTGAATCCTTGTGCCACCACAAAATATTCTACTCAGTTTAAGCTATGGGTGCATTATAAGAATAAGTGTATCCCATAGCTTGGATGGCAGGTGGTAGGGTGCACATTGCTGACTGGCTTCTTTTCTTCTGTTCATTAATTCCACATTAGGTACAGAAGCAGGTAGTTTTAGTCGCTTTGCCATAAATAATAATCATAAAATTCGAAAATAAGAAATTAATAATTACAGATTTCTTGCAGTTTTCAAACCACTGAGAAAAGTTTTAACATACAAGTTTTTAAAGGTTTATAGAGAGCTGAGAAAGTATTTTATTGACTGATCCGTACCCTCCATTGATGTAAGAAGGCTGTTGATTGGATGAAGATGGTTGTTGTTGCTCAAAGACAGAACTATCTGGTGAGGTCTCTGTGGTTTGTGGTGGATTTTGCTGGGGTGTCAGCTGACCTTGTTGATGAGACTGAGGATGGACTAGTTGGGCTCTATGGAATCTAACCTCATCTTCTACCTTTTCTCTTTGTTTTTTCGACATCCTTCCAAATTTGACAGCTGAAAGTGAAAAAAAACTTTTATGTAAACAAAACACTAAAACGAGTTACAAATATTGTAAGAGTGAAACCACAAAAAATACAGTAATGTGCAAAAAAAACAATAATGGAAAGAAAGATGATGGCCATTCTTATTCAAAAGTGTACAATGGGAAGCACTGAAGTTTTTTTTACAGACAACTATGCAAATTCATGATGCAATAGTTCTGACAAAACAAGTTTAATCATGATTTTAATTCATGATATTTAATTTAGTTTCCTTTGTAAGGCAAGAAAATTAAAATGTGTAAAGAAAAATACGAAACATAAATTACTACATAAGACTGAAAATAATAGGCTAATTATTAAGTGTCCTTAAAGTTAATTAAGTGATCTTAAAGAAATGGATTTGTGAATTAGTATTATATTTCCCAAATTTTTCAAGGTAAAGTCATTTTAGCCTGTTTGCTTTAGTCCCCTAGTGTGAGTCAGCAATAAAGTTGAGCCCTATAACCCTAAAATCAGGGTTTCAATTCCCTACATCAAACACAGTGCAAGCCCATTGTGTAGCTTTGCACTTAGCAACAACTGTTTACTTTAATCTTATTCCAAATTTTAGCTTATATTATTAAAAAATACACATCAAGTAGGAAATCACTACCTTTCTTTGACGTATCACATTAAAAATTCCATGCAAGCCCTGTGTGTAACATCAAATAAAATGGCAGACACAGACATGGTTCAATATTATCTCCACATTTAGGGAAAAACAAAACAAAAAACAATGCAACACATGCTACCACCTCATGAAATGGTACATAATACCACTAACTTAGTAAAATTCATTAGTTTCTTACCATCTCTTGACATTCCTAGTGTTAAACATTTTTGCAACCTACAGTATTGGCATCTATTTCGATTCACTCTGTCTACAACACAATTCTTCTGTCTTGGACATTGGTAGTTCACCACGCTGGACTGACTTCTTCTGAAGAAACCCTACATATCCAATCAAAGCTCTTGTTATTTCACAAAAGGTCTTTAAGATACAGCAAACAGTGTCATATATTTTTCAGACAATACTTCGACAAATCGAAAACAAGAACATACATTTATGATTGTAATAGCATGTAGACCTTAAACCATGACATTTTCAATAGTTTTGTGATTCTCTATTTGTTTCTTTTTCTTATAATCTCAGTGTTATTTAATCATAACATGAGATTTATAATTCTCAATCGTTCATAGCTAATATCATACATTTCTATTTCAGTTAGTGGTTCAACATGTTAAATCTAACAGGTCAATGTTCATAAAAGACTTTTCTCTATTTCACTAAAATATCGAATATGTTAGTTATCGTAAACAATTTCCAAAATAATAAGTAATAATAATTTTAAACCGGCGCAAATATGTTGTTTAAATTGTTTCCAAACACGACGCTTATGTATCACAATGTAAGATAGGGTGGAGCGACATCTGCAGTGTACGCAGTTTTGTGAGATTTTTTATCACAAACGTTAAGCCTATTCGTATACAATGGTCTACCAACTTTTGGTATGTAAACCGCAACTTTAAAAGATATAGTTCCTTATAAAATGCTTTTGTTTCTTCACATCTTAATTGCTTCACCATGGAATATAGCCATAACAGTTCGTAACAGTAAAAAACGCCTAGTATCAATTACGTTTAGTAAATCACCTTTAAAACTCAATAAAATCATAGCGCTTTAGACAGGCGAACCTGTCTTTTTCAGGGGAAAAGATGGTAAAGTAATCAAGTATTAGAAACGTGCGAGGTGATATTTACCATTTAAGTCTTTCAAAATAAACTGTACTGCATGACCAGTTACCCCATCAACTTGTGATTTCTAGTAAACGCCCAGTTTAAATACCAAGATAATGTTCAGAAATTATCGGTTATCTTCACTTCCAGTTTTCTTACGGTTTTATCAGACAGAAAAAAAAAAAAAGATAAGTTTGTTACCTTGCAACCTTCACAGGTTATCACCCCGTAGTGAACGCCTGAAGACTTGTCTCCACACACTTTACACGGGATGATTTCTATCTGAGCTGTAAATAAAAATCACTCATTTAAGAGAATAATAAAATATAAAGCTTCCAAATTCAACAAAATTAAAAGCCAAATTCTAAATATTTTAATTATGTAAATAAGCATTTCATTATTACTTGATGAACCATAAGACTTTGTTTTTAATTTCGAGCGAATTTTTCGTCCTTAACCATTTTACAATTTGGTCAATATATTAACATTTGGCTAGTTCGTTTCTTTTTAATCTATCAATTTATAAATTTGGGATGAGTCATTTATGTAGATTAGCGAGAAATGTCTGAAACAAACAGAGAAATCTTCGACAACTCAGTAAGAAAGTTTTTGCACATTTTTGTTTTTTGTCAGTAACAAATTTAAGTATATCAGTATAGATTCACAAATGAAGTATTCTAAGTAAGGTTTTATTTTTCTTTCGAAAATCCTGAAATATTACAATTTATCCTAATGCTTTATATACATATAAAGTTGATAGATTTGTCTGTTTTTTGGACATTCGCACAAAGCTACATAAGGATTATCTGCGCTAGCTGTCCCTAATTTCAAACTGATAGATTAGAGAGAAAGCAGTCAGTTAATGGCACATATCCCCAGTTCTTGTGCTGTTCTTTTGACAGACACTCTCATAGTGCACCTTCAACTCCAAGTGCGAAGCTCGTTCTTGCATAATGGGAGTGAACAATGAATCTTTAGCTTAACAGTCCAGGTAAAGTTTTAAGTTGCAAGTAAGGAGTTTTACTTTTCCTACACAAAATTAACTGAGAACTCCACCTAGGTATTGGATGACGAATTATTTCTAGACTGAAGATTTTCCTGAGATAAGTTACATGCTATAAACACCTCTAATCATACGCCGGGTAAAGCTAACAATAAACAAAGTTAAACCTTTGTATGTGATAAATAAATTACATAGCAAAGACAAAAACAGTTACTAATTAATATAATTTCATATTTTTTATATACTTTAGTTTAAATTTCAAAGAGAACGTGTTTGTATTATGTCTAAAAAAGAGTAACTTAGTTTTCACTTTTAGTGCATTTTAGATAAAACTTAAAAGATCGTAAACCATTTTGCAACTTTTATCTTTCAATATATTTTTAATTGAACGTTTTTATAACTGTAAATACTAATATATCGAAAGATAAACTATAATAATTGTTTTCATCTTTAGTTCTTTTTTCTAGATCAAGGGTTTTAAAAAAATTAAACTTTTTGTACGTTTTAGTATATTTTCAACAAGTTCTTTAGCGTAAAACTATAAATCTTAATATATATCTGTAAAATAAGATTCAACATTAGACGACACCACAAGCAATTCTAATATTCGTTTGTAATATTCAACAAATAAATAGTTTCACCGTTAATATTAACCAAGTAACGCAAAGGGATAAAAAAGACACCTTGTTCGGCTAATAGAGAAGATGTATTTTATTCTGTTATCATCTGAAATAAAATAAGAGATTGTTTGTTTGTTTGTTATGAATTTCGCGTAAAGTTACATGAGGGACGGGGATTCGAACCCGCGACCTGCAGATTGCGAGTCGGGCCAAAATAAGAGAAAAAAGGAGATCGTTACAATTCAGCTATACATCCAGATAATCAATGTTTATCACAATACTAGTTTTAAATAGGTCAACCACGCTATGATCCTGTAAGCTTGGCTCTTAATTAAAGTAGGCTGTTGACATAACTTTGTTACCTCGATTAACCCCGTTGTACTTTCTGGTTACGCTGATTGTTGGTTGATTTTTGAATTGCGCGCAAAGCTACACGAGGACTATTTGCGCTAGTCGTCACTAATGTACCAGTGAAAGATTAGAGGGAATGCAGTTAGTCATCACTACCCACCGCCAACTCTTGGGCTACTCTTTTACCAACGAATAGTGGGATTGACCGTCACATTATAACGCCCTCACGGCTGAAAGGGCGAGCATGTTTGGTGTGACGGGGATTCGAACCCGTGACCCTCAGCGATCTGAGGCAAGCGCCATAACCACCTGGCCATGCCACGCTGACATTAGACCAGTTACTCCAAACAGACTTCCGAGACGCTTATAATTAAGGTAAGAAGAGTTTAAATCCAGGTAGTTAAAATCTCTAATAGTTTAGATTAAATTTAAATAACTTAGGTATGTGAGGTTATGAAAAAGCTCTTGGTTTGTGCCATTTTTTATATCAGTAGTTTTAATTTCTGACATGTTTGAACTGAATAATTATCAACTTTTTGTATGAAAGTATTCGAAAGGTGTCACCACAGGAATAGCAATGCGATTGTACATTTCTCTTGCTGACAGACGATTGAAACCAAATAACATGGTGTTCAAAAGAAGACATCTTGCAGCGATGTCTATCTTACATTTCACAAACAGTTTAAAAAGGTGAGAATGCCTTATATAATCTAATTAAAACATTTAGAAATTGAGAAAATTAGAGCAACATATTAATAAAACTGCGAATTTGTATATTCATAGCCATGAATGATTAGGAAGTGGATACTATAATAATAGGTGTGGGCACCACAGAACGAACAGAAGACACTAGAGATAAGAGTACTCCCTTGTAAATAAAATCCAGACGTAGAATATGTTTAAACCATGTGTCTCCAATAACAGAAGTAAAATGAGCAGCAAAGCTGGTTGGAACTAAATACAAAACGATTAGAAAATCAATTGATTTGCAAAATAACACAAAACGGATTACATACACATATAAATCTAAAGAAGTAGGCAAATGTTCTGACTCAGTATTCAAATAGTGAAACATTAAGTGAAAAAAAACTTACATATCACATAAAAAGGAATGCATCAGTATATTTTAAAGTTCCTTCCATAGGTTTGTTTTATCATATTTTATAACATATCTAATTCCAGGAATGGCTTAAATGTCCTTTTCATCATGTGTCTGAACACAATAACTGGTAAAGCGGATTTATTAGACATACACAAATGTGTTTTCACCCTTGGATTTATGCCAGTACTTGAAGATAGGTCAAGGTAACGTTCAATGCCAAAGATGATAAGAAATCGATCTTTTATCACAACCCCGGTTTTAAATGACTATCAGAAACATTTTGTTTTCGTGACGTACATTATGAAACTTTTGAAAACACTTTAATATGATGAATAAACCAAAACACACAACAACCCATATTGTAACAAGATCTCAAATATGTTATACACTCGAGTATACTTCGTGTTTGACGCGTAGAAATAAAATAGTCCAGTTTCCGGTTTAATGTAAGCTAACTTCCGGGCTACGCGTCAAACACGAAGTATACTCGAGTGTATAACAAATTAAAATAGTCCAATTTCCGGTTTAATGTAAGCTAACTTCCGGGTTTATACACCTGGAGTTTTTGTTGCAACAGTCTGATTCGGAACCGTAAAGCTAGTTGGAAAATCCTTTTCTCCGTTACTCTACGTATAGCAATCAAAAACTTGAGCTTATCCGGAAAAAAAAAAGAAGAGAGTTTTAAGCACTGAAATAAAAGAAACGGATAAATTTTTATGGACTGGATTCACTAGCATAAAATACCAGCGCTCCGCAGCATGGTTTAAAGAACCCTTCATAACTTAGGGAGGCCACAATGTATCGATAAAGCTTTTCCATTATCCCCAATTACTTCTATAGCTACCCCAAAGGGGTCCGTAGCTGAAAACAAAACAACAACAACAAAATTCTCTGTATAGGACACCCACTCGTGGTACCTAAGTTTATGCCACGTTTGGTCCCATTAGATTGTGATGGGTGGTAATTATCATAGTGTCAAAGATGGCGCCCTTCGATATCCCAAGATGGGTCTGGAGGACAAACTCCAACACTAAATTTGGGTTCAGCGATCCTAAGAACCTATTTCTAGACCCCCAAAGAGTCTGTACAGCGACAAATAAAACTACACTTTATATACACACAATGCAGGAAGCTTTCAGTAGAGTATTCAGCGAGAAATAAGACCACACTTTATATACACACAATGCAGGAAACTTTCAGTAGAGTCTGTACAACGAGAAATAAGACCACACTTTATATTCACATAATTCAGGAAACTTCCAGTAGAGTATGTACAACGAGAAATAAGACCACACTTTATATACACACAATGCAGGAAACGTCCAGTAGGGTCTGTACAGCGAGAAATAATGCGACACTTTCTATGTACGAAGTGTTAAAACCTCCACAGATACAGAAGATGTACAGTTTGCATGACCGACAGGAAGACAGGACAAGTTGCCCTGAAAATTATCCTGTGTTGTTAATGTGTCCTTTCATTACTTAACTTTACACAATATGATGAAATCTATATACAGTATTATTGACTACTGAAAACTTTGCGTTTAGCCCTTGTTGTACCCTCTTCGTCAAAAAACATCAGTATCTTTGTGAAATATTATACAGTTTTTTAGAACTGTACTACGTAAAGCTGCTTCTAATTTTAGATTTTTGTGGAAAACGTTTTAATGACTTTGTTCCCTTTACTTAAACTAGATTGGTCGGTATGTAAGCAAGAGGTCCGATAAATGCCTCCTCGCCGAAGGATTCTAATAGATTCTTATTGCATTTGTAATTTATTGACGAACTTACCATAAGGTAGCTATTTTCTGGCATATGTTTAGGTTTTGGGTTTGTGTTATACTTCAGCAAATTATGGCAACATGGAGGCCCAAAATAGTACCGAAACAGAAACTGTTTCTTCTGGAAATAAATGAGTTTACTTTACGTTTTTTTTTGTTGCTTTTTTTTTTTTTGAAGAACGCATAAACAAGAATTTTGACTTCGTTGCTATATATATATATATTTGTTTTCACATTAATTACATCTGTAATACTCGAGGTCATTTGGGAACTCTCGTTGGTGCCTAAGTCGCCTACCCAGAAATTTCGACTTGTTAGTATTCACAGAAACTACCACCGATTTTCAGCTCGTAAAACCAAAAGCACGAAAACACGTATGGATGGATTCCAACCTCTGAAGTAATCAGCACACGGGATACAAAAAATAAAATTTAAAAAAGTCAAGCCGCAGCCCTCTGGTGGTTAAGCACGGAGGCTCGTGGTTGGTGATGAAAGATAGAGATTACGATACTCGTGCTTCCCCATTCCAACGAAATATACGATGGTAAAATGACAAAGCACGTTATTATAAATCCCTACTAAACTAAACATACGAGTACGCTACATTCAAGGTTTAAAGTTAATGCACTCGCACTTACGAGTTTATGCTTTGAGCTAGAGCTTTTATTCTAAAAGACTCCACCTCTTATTACTCGACCTGTATAAGTAGTAGAGTAAAGCTAATTTATTGCCACTCTGGCAGTCGAAGAGTAGCTGTGCGAGCTTCACTCGCGCCCCCATGTAAGCTAATACAGAAACAGCAGAAAATAATTAAATAATGTCATAAATTCGCTTTGTTTATAAAATAATACATCTCTTTTAAAGTCATTTAAAGCTTATGGAGAAAAGTATTTCGTTACTTTCCAATGATATAGTGCGAATACATTCTAAGCTAGACTGCGAGTTTAAGGAAGGAAAAAATAAAACAAATCGCCATCTCTATTAATATTAATGATAGCAATATGAACAAGGTGAAATACCGTCTTTCTCTTTCTGATTCTTATTTTATCGTTAATATGATGTTTCGATTTTCATTTACTTGTTTCTATTGTACGTGAACTTCTCGTGTCGGTGGATTTAAACAAGCGTTGTTTTCTGTTAGTTTATTGTATGGTTTGTAGTTCATAGATTTACCTCTCTTTTTTATATAAATATAGCAAAGCATAATTAATAATAAACGAGTCTAAAAATATTCGAATAAGTTTATAACACTGAAAATCATAGGCGAGCTGCATGGAGTATTTCTTGCTATATATATCACCTTGTACACGTGATATTCGAGCCTTGAATTTTACCCTTATAGAACATATATTTAGAAAACATTTTCAGGATTTATTCATATTCTGTTGTTGTTTTATTTGTAATTAAGCACAAAGCTACACAATGAGCTATCTGTGCTGTGTCCACCACGGGTAACGAAACCCGGTTTTTAGCGTTATAAGCCTCCAGAGCTGCCGCTTTGTCACTGGGGAGAGGGGGGGGGGGGCTTCGTATTCTGTAACCTGGGTTTTGTTTTGCTTTCTAGTTACCTCATTAACTTCGTATTTTCTAATTGATGTCTTCTCATCGGTCCGTTTGTTTTCTGATTTGGCATGAACGTGCTCATTGCTAGAAAAACCAGTGAGTGTCTGTCTGGTAGCCAATAAAAATGACTGAAAGTTTAACGAAGGATAGTTCCGACCAGTCTGATTTCAGATTTAAGTAAAATTCGATCTTTGTCAGCTTTACAAAAAAAAAAAAACTTCAGGAGTGATTTTTAAACTAAGTCTAGGTACAAAATCGTCATCGTCAACTTGTTCATAAGTCAAAGTTGACTTAGTAACGGTCTTTTTTTTTATTTTAGAGTTAGTATGTGTCAGCGAATCTTCATGGATAGTGTAAGTACTTTCCGTCAAGAACTGCTGGACTAAAGTATCCGTACTGTCAGTATTTTCCGTCAGGAACTTCTGGATTAAAGTATCCGTAGTGTCAGTACTTCCCATCAGGGGCTGTTGGACTAAAGTATCCGTAGTTCCAGCACTTTCTGTCGGGAGATTCTGGACTAACGTATTCGTTAACTAAAAGATAATTTAGTAAAAGACATTTTTTTTGTTTTTTTTCTTCTTTTAACAAAATGAGCTGTTGTGAAATTCCTCATGAATAGTGTCAGTACTTTCCGTCAGGGGGTTGTGGATTAACTTGCCCATTAATATGCAGGTAATGAGTTTCAGGTTAAATGTTAAAAACAGAAAATCACAAAATTACGCAATGGGGTATCTGTGATGTGCGTACTGCAGGGTTCGAACCACGATTTAAAGAAAAGAAGTAATTGTCAGAATAGTAAACTATTTGTTTCTACAAGAAATATATATAATTCTATATCATCGTAAATTTACAAATCGCGGAGGGCTCATACAATCATAAGCCCTCCGCGTCATGAGAACATTATCATAACTTTATCATCCAAACATTAACGCTATTGCGATGGTTGCATGTTATTTCAACTCTTTTGTGATAGCTATTTTTATATCCACCGAAACCGACTCATAAAATCAACAGTCTAGTTCAAGTTTTAGCTTTGATTACATCTTTCAAAGTTAGCAAAATAATCTTTGGAGGTTGACTTTTTATCTTGGTAAAAAATTTTTATCGTAAAATGTATATATTATTTTTATCGTGTTGCAATACAGTATCGAACACTGTCAAACATATTTAATATTCCTATGATGATAGTTATCACAACAGCGCATCATCGGAAAAAAAACAACATAGTATCAGCCTAGTGGTAGTTTTTTTTCTTATTAGTTTGGTTAGCAATGTATTTACAGGTTAAAACAAGAGGGAATCCTGATAGCCGCGGCACTTGAAACTTTTTTTAGGCAGGATTAGAGTAAATTAATCTAAGAGATTCCCCCCCCCCTTTTTATTAGTTATGTTTTGTGCGCCAGCAATACCAAGCGTGGGGCGCGCGTATACCCGATTCAATTTTATTACTCATCAGGATCTCTATAAGCCTATTCTCAAATTGAAATCCTTTTAGGCAGGATTATAGTAAATTACTCTATGAGTCCTTGGGCGTGGTCAAATACATCGAAAGGATTTGACCTCCCGAGTCCAAAACTGTAATTAGATCTCAAATCGGTCAAGAGATGATGGCGCTACGAGCCAAAATTCAGAGACGTTCTATCGAGATAGTTGGAAATATATAATAGTTATAAATTAGTAAATTATGGTATCAGGAAGTGTAAACATTAAATGTCGTCCTGTGATGTTTTTCTTGTGTGTGTGTGTGTGTAAATCGCATTTGAAACCTGTAACTATTTTCTTTGGTGCAACGCGTTAGCTGTAGAGCATCGAAAAATGACTGAAGTTATGTCAGTCTAACTGCCTTAGATTATATAGTGAGTAAACTCGTACTTCGCGTACGAAGCATATTTACATTTTAGGCCTAATTGTTCATTTTAGGCGCCTGTTGGAATTTGTATTGAGATGCAATAGTACTGTGTTATTTCTAAGCCACGGAAAGGTAAAGAATGAACTTAATTTGTTTTCTTGCGTGTTTGTTTATGTTATTGAAATAATTGTCCTTAAATTTAATGTTATAAACGTCATAGTTTTGCACTCGTATAGAACAAAGCACGTCAAACGTCATTTATTTTTTTGCATTCGTATAAACCTCAAAGTATCACTGTACGTTACACCAATAGGAACATTGGGTTTCCTTGTGAACTAGCACGCATACATGCACGGAATAACTGACACACATTGTTCTTTTAACTATATAGCTAGATTGGTGGAAAAAATCCGAAAATCAAACGCGCTGGAAAATATAGTTTAACATATGCTTTGTTCTAGCCACAACTTGAAAGTGGTTTTTATTACGAAAAGAAAAACAGATTTTTTAGCACCACAGTTCTAAATTTGTTACTACTTTATAATCTAGTTAGCAATTAATTAAAATTAATTAATTAATCAAGAGCAGCATATAAAGTAACTATACTTGATGAAGAGCAATAGGTAATGAATAATTACTTATATCTGTAATATTTAATAAAGAAAATATCCAGCAACTCTTACGAAAAACTAAAACTTTGAATGTACACATTTCATTGCTTGACAACATTACTTCAGTAGTTAGATTACTCTGTTTGTATGTCATCACTAAGCCTTACATAACTTTTTTATTCAATTTCTGATTTACTTGCACAATTGGAAACTGGCATTTTAAAAGTCCTGTACACTAAACCACACCTCAGCTGTTAGCAAAATTCAATTGCCTTTTATCTTATTGGCTATTTATAAGTTGTTGCTTTTACCAACTAAAGTTTGTTGCTGACAAAATCAAACGCGATTATTATTCAGTTGGTTTTTGTTTGTTTTTTTGCTGCCAAAAAAGTTAGTTTCTGGTGACTAAGTCATGTTCTTGCAGCTAATTTTGATGGCCGTTTCATGCTATACTCTTACAGCTAAATTCTGATGGCCATGTTGTTTCTCTGCTGTTGATTACTGACGGCCACGTCAAGTTATTGAAGCTTATGTTTGATGACTACTTCATGTTCTTGCAGCTAATGTCTGATGGCTACCTCGTCTTCTTGCAGCTAATTACAAGTGGGCACGTCATATTGTTGAAGCTAATGTGTGATAACCACACCGTGTTCTTGCTGCCAAATTCTGGAGATTATGTTCTGTTTATCAAATTTCTCTTCTATACCAGTCCTTTATATCAGAATTAGTTATGGAGTTCTAGTTTATTAAAAGCCTCTATTTTTCATCTCAGAACTAAAACAATACCTCTAATACCACACCGATTTAACGTGCGTTGTTATTAGACGTGTGGAGTTTTGTTTTCCTCATCGCTTTGCTAAGAGTGTTAAGTAATACAGAAGAATGAAGATTAACCAGTTTTGGTTAGCAATGTTATTCTAGCAGATGATTGAAATAAAACTGTTATTCTAAATGACTAGCACTTTTAAAACTTAATTAGTCATCTCTGAACATATTTTCAAAAAAATCTTCAAAATAAGATAAATTATCAAGGAAGTGGAAAGCAAAATATATCATTTATCGTTTTGTTCGCATTTTTGAAACCTAATTGTGCGCCCTCCAGTGGCACAATGGTAAGTCTGCGCACTTATAACACTAGAAACCAGGTTTCGATACCCGTGGTGGGCACACCATAGATAGCCTATAATGCACGAAAATAGCTACATAACATACACAATTCGTTTAATTTCGGATTATATCCAGTTCGGAATTTTTCCGCATTTTGAAAACGAGGGTTGGAGTTTTTCCTATTCGATCTCAGATTTTATAGATTATATTTACGCATGAACAGAGAAACTTGGTTTTTATCTGTGGGACAAGAAGGATATAGGAAATAACTGATTACAGTAACTGATGCTAGTCGTGTTCACCAGACTCATATTGAGCAGTTTTCCCAGATATCGTTTTAGAAGTCAGTTTCAGTAAAAGTTCATTACAGGACTGAACGAGGAATCCTTCACTTGTCTTGCGTCAATACCAATCCTAAAATATGTGAATATGTCCGTTACCCGGGCAAACAAGCTCGTATCGGTCGCTGAGGCGTTCCCTATATTCGGGAAATGTGGGTCTATAGAATTCCTGCCAGGCGAGGTTCAAAGACACAGCTCACGTCCCACTCAGGTCTGGCCAACATAACCAGGAAGTTGTCCCAGGAAAAAAAAAAAAAACATATATAATTTAGCAGTTTTTCCATAATGGGTGACACACATTTCCACAGCTAACAGTTGTTACACGAGTTACTAACTTACTACCACCAGGAGGTTTAAAGCACCGTATATTTACTTGTTTTTTATCTAAAGCTACCCTAAAAGTCGAAGCAGTCTATTTTAACTGCATATCTATAATAAATGCAAATATTTCAAGTTGTATTGATTTCAAGATAATCTGTTATTGTTTTCGTCAAGTTTGTTCTAACGTGAAAAGAAATTAAGTTTGGTTTTTTTTTAACAATTAAAAGCCTAACGACAAGCCACAAATATCAGAGTCTCACAATCACATTACAAACTCGTCCCTAAACACCTATAACACTAAACTTGGGATCCTAACAACTCCATATCATACGACACACGTAATAAACTTGTGCCTAAAGCTGTAGAAACGGATTCACAAGTATTTTCAACATTCAAATCTACAAAGAGAGAGAGAGAGGGATCAACGAATCAACGAAACGACAGCTTCTCTAATTACTTTCAGTAAATGTAGAAAAAAAACAACTATTAATATTTTGGGGATTTGAAAATGACCCTCTTTCATGGCTTTAGTGCGATAAACATTTAAAGCATACTCAGTTAAAAGTGGATCTCAAACAGAAATTCTCGGTTGTTCCAGGAAACTCTGAATTAATTTTTTAAATAAATCTCGATGTATCTACCAAAATATGTAATTATTGAGTTTTTATTGTTTTGTGTCGTTCGGAGTAAGTCTGTATTTCTAACATTTTCATAGCAAGACGTGAAAATTTCGATATACGAGTACTCCAGTCACTTCTCCTATCGCCCTCTGGTGGTAGAAAATCAAGAATACTTTACACATTTATCTGCAAGTACTTATATGTATCACACTATAGGGCTTTCTACTGACATCTGAGTAGTCAAACATGTCGTATGAAATTCCGCAAGATAACCACATCGTAACTAAGAATTTTAAGGAGACAATTTCTTAAAAGAAAATTTTCTTTAACATTTTCTTTAAATGATTTGTGTGTGCGTGTGTGTAATTTGGACATCTAAGAAAGACGAGCAACTTACGTGATGAATTTAACCGTGAAATTTCAATCAGATTTACCGAACTAATGAACTACTCATGATTATATAGCTTTTTAAGTTATTTTTTATTCTTACCTTTTTTTCTAATACGAGTGTTCTCTGCTTGGAAAAAAAAATGCATTTGAAAATCGAAAGAACTTGTAATATAACAAGCATTCCAAAACATCATTGATTTAACACAACTTTGAAAGAATTGTTTGTTTATTTTACAGCAAAGGCACATTGGGTTATCTGCTGTGTCTACCGCAGGGAATCGAGCCTCGGAATTTAGCGTTGTACTTCCACAGACTTACCGCTGTCTCACCGAAAGAAAAACGACAGACAACTTGGAAGAAAATATTTCATTTTACCTTCCACTTTGCCATCTTGCAATATAGACGAGACTGACCTCTCTGTGCTTTAATATAAACTCACTATCTGATCAACTGAAAATCAAATCTCACTACAGAATTTCTAAAAAGTCAGTGTGTACTCTTTCTTACTTGGATGGGAAAGACAACAACCATCTCCGTGTTAGGCCTATTAAATTAAACGTTGTGCAGTTCATTTATAGAAAATAAGTCGCATTCCACTAAATAAAAACGAACATCGTATTTCGTTCGTAATGATTATCAAATTCGCTGAATAATATCGTCAACAAAGGCTGACAAGTCTGTAAAATTCGATATTAAAATGTTATAAGTTAAGTGTTTCGTCACAATAGTTTAAAAACAAAAGAGTGACCAATAAAATAAGCACTAGATGTACTGACGGTTTTTTTTATCCAATCGAAAATCAGCATAGAATTAACACTAACACATCAAGTTAGATTTTGTGTTTAAATTATCTTTGAATTTGAAACTATTTTTCTATATCGTTAAGGTTTTTTCCAGTTTCCTTTTCATTGGACAAGAATAAAACATTTGATGATCTTGTCAAACAAACCAGTCTATTCACTGTTATTACCGCCGCCACCGAAGGTGGACGGAGGTTATGTTTCACCCCTCTGTGTGTGTGTGTGTGTGTTTGTCAGCAATATTTCTCGGAAACGGCCGAATGGATTTTGACAAAAGTTGGCATACATTTGGACTATGACCCAACCTAGAAGAGATTAGTTTTCGGAGGGTCAAAGTCACAGCAGGTCACGAAAATAAAAAATCCTTATCTGTTAACATGGAGATAAATTTTTCACATTAATTTCGCTCTATAACTTAGTCAAAAATGATTGGATTTTTGATGCAACTTGGTGGACATATGTAGAATATTATTCCTCATTGGCCTGCCAAACGTGGTCCGAGTCCGTTGATAACGACGGACACAATTTCGTGTTTTTTGAGGGCTGAATATGATCAGTGCTCCGTGGCGGAGTTATGCGCTCTTCCAAACGTCCCTTTAATTATTATCTTATGTTTGTACATTGGCTACCGAAGAAAAGTTTTGTACGACCAGTACATATTTTCTCACTTAACCCTTTCAATACAGTTGGGTTATATTTGACCCAGCGCATGTTTGTATAGGACTGGTTTGACCCATTTATTCCACAAAAATTATTTTGAACATGGCGCTCTAGTCCTTTGGTGGCGCCCTCCAGTGGCACAGTGGAATATCTGCGGACTTACAACGCTAGAATCCGGGTTTCGATACCCGTGTTGGGCAGAGCACAAATAGCCCATTGTTTAGCTCTGTGCTTAATTACAAATAAACAAATTCAACAATACTTTGGTGTATCCTATGTCATTTTATACGTACGTATATGAATACTATTTTAAGAATGGCGTAGTAGTACCGAAAGGGTTAAAGTAATTGTTGTCTGAGAAAATGAACCGATATAGCATATTTTTAGGCTAACAGCTATAACAACATTTGTTATTCTATGCTTGAGGATTAAAGTAATTGTTGTCTGAAACAATAAACCGAAATAGAATATATATATTTTTAGGCTAACATCAATAACAATATTTGTTATTCTATGCTATGCTTGTACAATATTCAATATGTGCATGCAAAATTAACAATAACATTGAAGCTGTCTCACATAAAAGGACTTTTTTGTGTACTAACACCGGCGCTTGTAAGGGATAGGCTCATATTATTTATGCTATATATACATAAACCTGCCCTTTGGATCTGGATTACAAGCAATGTTGCCGTCAGTGAATTGATGCACATTAATTTGCACATGTTACACGAGAAGCGATGCTGTACACTCACTCCTAAGTACAAATAGGAAGTCCAAAAACAAAAGTTGGTGAAAAGCTCCATGGAAGTGGTGGCTCTGTAGTAATATTTGTTTTCTGTATCTCGCGTGAGCATGATTCGAACTTAGGACCTCTCAGGTGAATGGTTTGAAAGCTGAGATAAGGGTTACCCGCTTCCCCTCACAGTGATTCCTAATAAAGCACTTTTAAAAACTCGAACTACCACAGCTTTACTGCAATTATAAATGTCCAAAATACCACCGCAGAAATAAACTTGCATAGTTGTGTCACATATTTCCGTCGTGTCACTTCCGGTTCACGGTTCAGCACTCCTCATCTGTGCCACTGGGTCATCTAGGCCTGTCTGTTGCGAAAACCTGTTTCGGTATTTGTTCCTAGCTGGCATGTGTTTGTTGGACCCCATAGTGCTTATTAACCTTAAAATAAAACTGATCCTAACAAGTTATAACAACTTATCAATAACTTCCACCTGAATCACGTTTATTCCCATAATAGGACGTTTAGATCATAGGAGTCCAGCCATAATGGGACTTTTGAATCGTATGAGTTTAGGCTGTTGAATACGCGATCTACATAGAAAGGAAGCTAGATTTATACAAAATGGCGCGTGGTTGGAAGCAACTTCAACTGATTACTCAAATGTTACTGTTACTTGCTAAAAATATTCATTTACACTGCAAACATTCAATTTAATGAGACAATTCACCAGATGATGAGATAATAAAGGATAGCTTGTGAACAATGCTGCCATCGTGGCCAATTTTTTTACTCTTACTAGGCCTAACAATAATTAGATTGATAACATCAACAACCGTGTTTTAAATATGTCTTATTCAAGTCTAAAACTACTGTTCAGAAAAAAAAAAGGCATCAACCCGAAACGTCGTGTTGAAAAGATCTTACACGGTGACGTTACTCTGTTGGATATTTTTTATTAAAATTGTAAAAAAATAATAAAAAATAATGCATATTCTAATTTCCCGCTGTTTATTTGAAACTTAGGAAGTTGGAAGGGGAATATCATAAATGTATCCATGACAGCCCTCTAGAAAGTGTGACACGTGTGTCAATGGCAGAGTTAGCTAATGACACTGAAATTTCGCTAACTCTTTAGAGCCATCGATAACAGATATGAAGAGCTAGAAAAATATTTAAAGGTGAAATGTAATTTGATTCTCGCAATAGCTATAAGAAATTCCCGGTGTATTGAACGGTAATCAGATTATATGTAACTTATACGTTATATGAAGATTGTATTAGGTACGGGAACTTTTATTTTTAAAATTTTAATAATTAAAGACCTATTATCTATAGTTATATATAAACAGCAACTCAGATCAGTGTACTTAACTGTAAGAATTACACATCAACTCATATAGAAATGGGCTGACAATGTTTGATTCGTTAATGGTAATCTGGACCTAGTGGTCAGCTCGCCAGGCTGTGAATCGAAATATCCAAGATTCGAGCCTCTGAACATACTTACAGCTGGAGGGGTGTTACAAGAGTAGTAATCAATCTCGTTATTTGGCTCAAATTGAACAACCCCCTTGTGACGGAGGGTGGTACTTGACTGGTTATTCTTCCTCTGACGAATAAGTAAAAATCAGGAACGGTTATACTGAACCCTAAGGGACTTTGACCTGGCGTTTAGCTCAC